GCCTAATATGTATTGCTGTGTAACCTAGGTGTATAAAGCATACCTGTAGCGGTGCCCAGTTTGTCGTCTTCTCGCATTGTGTCGAAGGAGGTGAACGAACTCGATACAGACTTGAGAGTGGCGGCAGCTTTAGACTGTGAGGGAGGGCAGAGATAAGGATAATTGTAAGTATAGTACACTCAATAAATGAAACGCAAAGTTTCAGATTCCGTCAATAAACTAGCTTCTCTTTGATTGGTCCGATTCAGACTGTTAGGTGTTAGTCTGACACATTTATGTAAGTGGCTTACCTCGATACTCATTTTAAATCGGTGATTACTGTATCACGGTTACAATCTATACAAATCGCCCAATCATGTTTTTTTTAAAGACGTCAAACACAATTGAATTCAAATCATTAATTACAATTGGCCCAATCAAGTTTTTTGGGTGAACTGTTTGAAAAGACGTCAAAAAAAATTGTATACAAATCATCACATTTATTTTCATGATTGTTGATAATTATTGATACAGAAGATGAGAAACATTCTCAATAATCATCTTAACAAGCTCTTTTTAAAAGTGTGGTTAACAATTTGTGAAATTCAAAGTAAATTTATTCACAAAATGTTGACAACACTCCTTGTCCATTGGGTAATTGCCTCCAATTGATCAAATGCGCACCAAAATTCTAACGCTCAACGTGTTGAATGAAGCAAGCACGAGACATTACCTGAGTTGACCCTTTAACCTCATCTGGTTTTGCAGTAATGGAATCCAGTGCCTTGGCTGTTTGTCCGACTGAATCGGCTGTACTCGCACCCCCACTTGACATTTTCTCCAGACCGCTGATCATAGCATCACGAACCTACAAACACAATTTCTAAATGTGAGATTATAATAATAAATCAGTGTGAAATTGCCATCAGCAATAAATATACTAAAAATAACCTAAATTATTATTTAGTCACTCATACCAATAGACCATTTTCCGTTCACTGCGAGATCTAGCGTTATGCATGAAATCGAACGTAAAACAGGACAAACAAAGGCCATAGTGTCGTAGTGGCGACAAACTCGCGGGGATTCGACAAACGGGAAAGTATTTTGGGGGATATTTCCTGCTCAATAATGTGCTGTTAATTTCGATAAAGTAAGTGTATTCAATAACACTTGCAATATTCTCCTGTCCAAAATCGGCCTTTCGATGTGAGATACGAAATAATGAAATTCGAGTTTAAAATCAGATCGTTCGATATTTGCGGCAGAGGTTCACCGCGCGCCTTTCATGCAACTCGCGAGATCTCGCAATTGAACGGAAAATCACCGATTGAGATTGGTTCATGCTACACATGACGTCATTTCTAGATGAGAGACGGTCCCGAGGCCTGAAAATACTTTGATAGTGAACGTGTAGTTATGGCGCTTGAATATACTAAAATAACATAACATGCGATTTGCACGGTCAATCAAACGTTACGACCCCCGAAGCACTCTGAACTTCCAAATTTGCCCTTTTTTATGACGTCACTGTGATTAGCATAAAAAATAGTATTATTGTCTAAATAGTATTTGAGTATATTTTGGGCCATTTGAGACAATATAGTTACAAAGAGCAGCAACAATGAATGTTATATGTAGCACAACTTTTAAAACTTTGTCGGAACATCAAATTTATTATGACGTCAAGCACTGAGAATATTGAGAGTCCTCGGCGATTAAATGCAGTTTGATGTAAACTCGAAATGGTGTTTAGAGCCGTGTTACATGTTGTAACGTTTATAGCACCAGAAAACGTGGTCATAACAGGCTTACCTTACTCCTTGCATCTGCCGCGCCTTCTTCTTCTTCCTGAAATGGAAACAAAAATGGCACATGTATTGGTACTATTGATCACTCGGCCAATGTGAATCAATTATTTTTCAATTATGGATACAATTTGAAATCACTAAAACATAACTTATATGCCGCCGGGATCTCACTTGCCCCTCAAATATCGTTGTTATTTGTTTTGCGTCATAGCACCCACTTCTCCAGTGATCCATATAACCGTGATATTTGTAGACACAGTAGAAGCGATAATGGTAGAGAATGGAATACTATGGGAGGCGATCCAACGAAAAATCTCGCTTTCGACGAGATCTCAGTGAGCACTGTGTCTGGGGTCCAGCATACTAACCTCTCCTTCTTCCGGACCAGCATTCAGCACGGATGCTAATGCCACTGTGAAAGACGCGACTGCGCCGACATCACCACTGTTCACCATCTGATTCAGTAAACTGTCTTCACCGGATGTCATTTCTGATATCTTCGCGGCGGCGTTGGCAAGTTTCAGCACCTGAATGTGTGTACATTGAATGAGATACGCTTGAAGCAGGAGAGTTTACATTGTTTGACCAAAACAACAACAACAACAACGACAAAAATTAAATGCAATTCCCGGAACCGGAAGCTTTAAACCCAAGACAGAAAGAGAGCTGTGTATTCTGGTTGTCGCCGAGAAACGAGCGCCATATTGTCAACATGGTACGTCTTGACGTAGCGTGTGGGACATTGCGTTACGTAGCGTACAGAGATAAACTAATAAGCATAAGTACCTGGACAGGAATTTCCTCTTCGATGTATTCTCCGTATCTGTCCATTACTCGTGCGAATATAGTTAAATTCCCGATCTCAAAAAACCTCTCGGTCCCAGCTTCCGATCCTCTTTGCAGCAAAGTGCGAGTAGTGGCGCCATCCCGCTTCGTGTAAAAGGCGTACGACAAATCTGTAAAGGCGTCTGCTGGGTCGGTTGGTCTTTCGTCTAGATCACCTTCGTCTTTCCATTCCTGACATTTGATGTTGAATTTAGTTTCCAGAGCGTAACCTTTGACAATGCCTGTTGGGATCGATCGACGAGATCCATTTCCACATAAATACACGATTGGGTGATATATCAGGGGGCAAACATTATTTACATTAAATTTACAATTTTTTCGTAAAATATGCAGTTGATCCGAATTCACATTTTGCACTACTGAACATGTTACTGTAATGCATTATGGGGAAGAACTCAGTGTGAAAAAAAAAAACATTCCCACATATTCAAATTAAATATCATTTGAAAAATATTTTAACATTATTATAATTCATATTAATAAGATTATCACAATGTTCATTCCATTCTACGGGGCAAAATGTTGAGACATTTCTGACACTTTGCGAATTTGAACCACATTCCACGCAAGATGGCGCTTCTTCAAATCACCTCTGCCACAGCATAATTATACATTTATGCAAATCAAGGGTCATTGGTACGGTCAAACCCGTTTGTTTGTTATTTGTGTATCTCTAACTTCTGTATAGACTATGGTATCGCTTACCATTTTCGTTTGGATACGCATTGCATGTTCCTCCATAAGGCTGGATGTTCGTTGTGAATGGCATCTCACCATATGACGTCACCATGACTCCAGACTCGCTTAAATAGTCCAGCGCCACGTGTAAATAGTACTGTACTCCAAAGTTGAGTTTGTAAGCATTGAATGATATGGACTTTGAGTAGATACCTGATATTAATGAATAATTACTAGAATATTGTGATTGAAATTATCCAGAAACCGTTCTCTGCACACAGCACTATACATTGACCACAATCCATTCTATGTACATGGCATTATTGACCAGTGTGCCCTCTGCCGTTATGACTCGCCACTGACACTGACTATTGTTTTGTTTTTCACTAGCACGTCATTGACGCAACCGAAAATCGTACACTGATATAATGATTTTTAAAACATCTTACTATAGTTATGTGAATTGTAATTTGTAAAAATCACATTTTATAAAAGTAATAAGTGTAAAACCGAAATAAATCAGGGGGCATAACATGTTTGTTTCTGCCTCCAGTCACCTATAATTTCTTTCGAGACTGGTCTCCTTAGCGATCAAGAAACTGGCTAAAGTTGATGTTGTGGATTTCCATTTTGACTCAGAATCTCTACAAAGGGGGTTCTGTTAGAGGACATGGTGATATTGAGAACAATGCGCACCCTACATATGACTCTATTTACCACAACCCATACTAGTACCCAGGACACTATTAGCCATACATCACACTCTACACACGACACTCAGATTAACCACAAACCGTACTCAACACACGACACTATTGACTACAAACCATACTCTACACACAGTACTATTGACCATAGATCGTACTTTCGACACGGTACTATTGACTATAAACTGTACTTAACACACCACACTACTGAATACAAACTGTACTCCACACACTAAACTATTGACCACAAACCATACTCTACACACGGGACTATTGACCACAAAAGATATTCTATATATGGCATCATTGACCCCAAACTAAACTCTACACATGACACTAATGACCACAAACCGTACACTACACAGGACACTATTGACTACAATCTATACTCTACACACGAAGCTATTTACCGCAAACCGAACACTGCACAAGACACTATTGGCCACAAAGCGTACACTGCACACGACACTATTGACCACAGACCGTACACTACACAGCACACTATTGACCACAAACCGTACACTGCACATGACAATTTGGACCACAAATCGAACACTGCACAGAACACTATTGGCCACAAAGCGTACACTGCACACGACACTATTGACCACAGACCGTACACTACACAGCACACTATTGACCACAAACCGTACACTGCACATGACAATTTTGACCACAAATCGAACACTGCACAGGACACTATTGGCCACAAAGCGTACACTGCACAGAACACTATTGACCACTGACCGTAATCTACACATTGTAGTACTGACCATGAACCGCTCTCTGCACAAGGCACGGCAGAAACGTGATATTCTGATGTGAGAGTCTTACCGGCACTTGTGAAGTCCTCAACACTGATGTCAGCATCAGTTCTCATATTGCTCCGAGGATTATATTTTTGCAATGACCATGTGTAGTTGACCTTCACTCCTGGTGTACAGTCTGAACATTGAGCTTTCACCATCATGATGTCTGAAGGGTTCACTTTAAGATGGTCTTCCCCTTGACCACAATTCACAAAGCATCTGAAATAGGACGATATCTGTGTTTTCACCTAACCTGGACTGAAAGTGCACTCTGAAATCATTCGTGAAGATTCATTTGTGTCCTGGGAATACTACGTGAAATATGCATTGATAAGGTATTATTGGAATGTGCATGCATTTCGGGAAATATTATGTAATGTTTGGACGCAATTATTGCAGCTTTCTCGTCGAGTGTTTGTTAGAATTTCGTCTTCGAACGTTTTGTAACAGTGTACCCAAACATTCGGTTCTGTTCCAAATTTGAACGGATTTGATTCATGGTGAATTCCTCAACAATTCACACATATTAACACTAACTCCAAGACCACGAGAAAGCAAACAAAATAATTTCAGAGTTACAAATCAATAAAGATAAATATAAGAAAGATGCTACCAGAACTGAGTGTTGTGTGTAAGCTTTGC